TGTATCATGGAGTTCTGGTAAGATGGCAAAGTAGCTGAAACCAGTTTGGCTCAGTGGTAGAACGTCGTCGGTCTGCGGACTGAAAGGACCCAGGTTCGATTTGGGTCAAGGGCATGTACATTGGTTGCGGGCACATCCCCAGTAGGGGGTGTGCAAGAGGCAGCTGGTTGATGTTTCTCTCTCATCGACGTTTTTAGCTATCTCTCTCTCTTCCTCCTCTCTGTAAAATATCAATAAAATATATATTACAAAAAAAAAAAAAAGATGGCAAAGTAGGTAAACACTGCTCGCCTTCTCCCAGAACCACAGTTGTAGTTGTAACAATTGCAACTAAAATCTAGAACAAACAATGTGGAGGACTCTCTTAAGACTAGCTGAACAGAAGTCTTAAACTAAGGAGTAAGAAAGAAGCCACATTGAGACTGAATAAATAAGTAAATAAAATACAATATGATTAATTTATCTGGTCCCTTGCTGGTGGATAATAGGTTGTTTATAGGTTGTTGTGTTTTTTGTTTGTTTGTTTTGCTCTAAGAAAAATGGGTGCTGTTAGGAGTTTAAATGCCCAAATCGTCAGCAGTGTAGTGACTTCCAAAGGAATGCACTACTTGGTAGAGGCTATAAAGAGAAATATGATTGAGCATGAGTGAGATACACAGCTCACAGAATGAATCCCGACAAAGGACAGGTTAAAAGAAGATAGACATCTCTTCTTGCAGGTCAGAACTCATGGTTAGAGGTGGACAAGTAGTAGATGAAGAGCTGGTTTATCCTACTTCTCCAGCCACTCTGTGAAGCACTTTGGGTGCTATGTTATGAAATTCACTTTAGTCTGATCTAACTATAATTAGTCCTGGCTTATCCCAGAAAAGACTTAAGGAGATCTCATTCTGATTCAAGGGTAGTGCCTCTTAACCCTTTTGGGGGACATAGATCGCTAAAAATGTAATAGAAGTGATTACTCCCTCCCAACGAAAACACATAAGACATTTATTTTTATTTTTAATATAATTTCAGGGGACCATCTTGACAGACACTCAGAAGTCTATGCACAGGTCCCAGGAAAAGAAACCAAACTAAGATGCAAGGGAGAATTAGGTAATACTAATGAGAGAAAAAATATCTAAAGACTTAAAGACTAGAATACTAAAATTCTAACCATTTAACCAAATAGAAACAATTAAAGTTCATCAAAATGCAGCAGGCGACTGTGGTAAGGAGTTAACTAGACAATAAAAAATGCTGCCTAAGTGGAAGAAACTTGGAATATAATAGGATATTATTCAACAAAGCCATTTGTGTATGCACTCGGGTCTCAAAAATGTCAAGGCAGTAACATTTATCTGTGCCATGGAAAATATTTCCTCTGAGACCAGAAAGTGCTTAAATAAAACTGCTGCTACTCAGTTTTCAGATCTGGCACATTCCCTAAAATACCCTTCACCCTCTTCTACTTTTTCAGAAGGTATCTTCTGGCAGGGACATTCCATCTGCAATCAGCTATAATCCCTGTAAGCAGCAGTTCAGGCCAGCTTGCCAGCATAGAATTCTTTTAATGCAGCGAACATATGTGGCTATAGCAAATTCATTTCATTTTTTCAACAATTCTAGGTTCAAAATGCATGCTCTCTCCCAACCTTAAGACCAATGTTTCTCTTTTTTTTTTTTTTTAAGCCATTAATACTTTCTAAAAATAGCAAGTGGCTCACTTAAAACCTCTCATTTAAAAGGCATCTGGATTACTTATTAATCAAATTACTAATAAATAGCCACATTAAAAAAAAAAAAGCGGAAATAGAAAATGTTAGTAGAAAACCGAAAACGCCAAAAATCCTAGAGGAAAAGGATTCTGATACAGATAACTAGCTTTCCAAGAACAAACACTTTTCAAGGAACCACAATTACTCCAAGCCCTGGGCCATGACAAAGTAAGTATTTAGCTAGAAAACTAGCCCTACTTTTTCCAAGGCCAATTCAGCGAAAGAGCATATTTGTTCCAGTAGATTAAGGGTAATTTAAAAGTCAAATTTCTCCTGCTGAACACTTACATGCAAGAAGCAATCTACTATAGCCAGATGAAGGTGAGGAGTACTGATATCTAGTCAGAGCACAAGTTCTAATATGCTACAATTCTGAAAATTTCCCCAAACATATTGGATGTTTAGTTTACAATTCTATTTATTCCTCAAGGTCTAGCTAAAATGTCCTATCATCTATGAATCTTACATTAGTCCTTTGCCAAACTCACATTTGCACTTTTTAAAAATCCTTTTTTATGGCAATTATCACTTTCATCACCTTTATTTTGTATTAAGGTTATTTTATTATATCTTATCTCTCCTACCTAGAACTAAAAACTCCTTGAGGGCAAAGTCCTTCTGGTACAGACAATTCTGTAATCCCTACAGGCACACATTATAGTAGACTATCAAAGAGGAAGGCAAAGACAGAAAGAGCAGGGCAACCTGGTAGTCTAGAAAAGTTTTGGACAAAATATGATGGAAAAACCATTGGTAGTTCAGCACCTTGCTTAAGGTGGTCTACATAGGACTAGTACAATATATCCAGACCTACTTTAACCAAATTATTAATTACTTTTAATAGTAAAAACCAGCCTAACCGGTTTGGCTCAGTGGATAGAGCATCAGCTTGCAAACAGAAGGTCCTGGGTTTGATTCCAGTCATGGGCACATGCCCAGGTTGTGGGTTCGATCCCCCGTAGGGGACATGCAAGAGGCAGCCAATCAATGATTCTCTCTCATCATTGATGTTACTATCTCTCTCTCTCCCTCTCCCTTCCTCTCTGAAATCAATAAAAAATATTTAAAATAATAGTAATAAAAACCAGGCATTTCCTCTTTAATGTTTTATAAAAGACATATCAAGCCCTAGCCTGTTTGGCTTGGTGGATAGAGCATCAGCCTGTGGACTAAAGTATCCAGAGTTCAATTCCTCCGGTCAAGGCACATACCCGGGTTTTGGGCTTGATCTCCAATGTAGGACATTGATGTTTCTATTTCTATCTCTCTCTCTGAAATCAATAAAGATATATTTAAAAAAAAAAAAAAAAAAAAGACATCAATATTTTCAGTGGTTCTGGAAAGATTTTTTACGGGTTATAAGCAAGAATGGGTACATAAGACATAGCCTCACAAATTCTAAATTTTTATGGCCCTATCCTAAAAATTGGGTCAACCAGAAATCTTATTTTCTTCTCTAGTTTGTTATCTACCACAAATGAAAACATCTGAAATCTTTCATCAAGAGTGAATAACATATTTGGATAATTTTACTTTTTCACCCTAAACTGACATTATTTTCTATACAATCAAAATAAGGTAAAAAAGAGAGCTATGTATTTTTAAAAAATAAGATCTAAGACCTTTTTTTAAATTAGCCATCAATAATCTCTTAATGAGCTTTTAATCCATCTGATTAAAAAAAAACAGCAGTCAGATAGTCAAGCAGACTCAGACTATTTCTCATAACTACCAAGAACTAAAGAAATTTTACCACATACTCTAATGATTTTATTCTCCTAGACAGTCAATGGATTACTGTTCTTTTATATTCTACTAGAGGCCCAGTGCATGGGGGGGAAGGGGCCTCCGCCCGGCCTGCACCCTCTCTAATCTGGGACCCCTTAAGGAATGTCCAACTGCCCATTTAAGCTCAATCCCAGCCAGACATCCCTCTCACAATCCAGGGCTGCTGGCTTCCATCTGCTCCCCTGCTGGCCCGATTGCACCTAACTGGCCTCCCCTGCTATCCTGCTCTCCTCCAACTGCCCTCCCCTGCAGGTCTGGTCCCCCAACTGCCCTCCCCTGAAGGCCTGGTTGCTCCCAACTGCCCTCCCCTGCTGGCCTGGTCACCCCTAACTGCCTTCCAGTGTTGGCCTGGATCCTCCCCAGCTGCCCTCCCCTGCAGGCCTGATCGCCCCCAACTGTCCTCCTGCAGGTCTGATCGCCCACAACTGCCCTCCCCAGCTGGCCTGATCACCCACAACTGCCCTCCCCTGCTGCCATCTTGTGGTGGCCATCTTGTGTCCACATGGGGGCGGCCATCTTGTGTGTTGGAGTGATGGTCAATTTGCATATCACCTCTTTATTATATAGAATAGTCTTTCATGCTAAAGTCTCTCATATGTGGAATCTAACGAACAAAATAAACTGATGAACAAAATAGATCCAGAGACACAGAAGTATAGAACAGACTGCAGACTCTGAGGGAAAGCAGGGGAAGAGTGAGGGGTTGGGAAGGGTATGATGATCAATCAAAAAACTTGTCTATGCTAAAGAGAAACGACATGCAAATTGACCGTCACTTCACAATGACCAACAACCAATCAGGAGTGAGTATGCAAATTAACCCAACAAAGATGGCAGCGGCCCCACCCTCCAGCCACTCTGGGCCTCTGGGCAGCAGGCATGCAGGCACAAAGCAGCCCTGGGTGGGGTGGAATGTAATGCCTGCTAGGAGGGGTTGGGCGGGAGGGTAGGGGAGCTACAGGAGCGTTGCTCCGGCTGCAACAGAAACTGAAGGCTCTGGTCAGAGTGAAGACTGAAGGCAGCGGCCAGAGCGAAGGCCTGGGTCCCAGGTGCCAGAGGAAAACTGGCGCCGGCAGCCAGGGGAAGAAAAGCCTATTGCAGAATCTTCGTGCAACAGGCCTCTAGTGTGCATATATGTATGCATAACCCATGGACAGAGACAACAGAGTGGTAAAAGCCTGGGTGGTAGACAGGGGCAGACTAGAAGGGGTCAATGTAGGGAAAAAAGGAGAACATACAGTCTATAATACTTTCAACAATAAAGATTTTTTTAAAAAAAGAAATAAGTATAATAATTAATAAATAGTAATATAATTATTAAATTAAAATAACAGTATAGGATAGAGTGGTAAGTGGTAATACCCAAATACTCATGTATTCTGATCACAGCAAGAGGGACGGAGAAAGAGTAGAAAAGTGAAACATAACTGATAGAAAACAACACGAACTTACTAGTGGAGTTGCCTTGCATCTGAATGATGCACTTGGACTCTTTGCTGGTCTCTCGAGAATTGAAAGGCCGCACTCGCACAGCCACCTTCACTGAGGCTCCCGACATCCTGAAGGTCTTGTTATATAATTGCAGTCCAGAAATACAGAATCAAATCTTCTTTTGAAGTTATGTCCAAGTTTCCTTTGAAAATAAAAAAGTTCCATAGAAGGCAGTCAGAATTAAAGAAAGCTTGGGCTAATTTGCGCATATGAGCTACTTACTATCTTATATCTTAGGGCTATTTTTGTTTCCATTTCTAAAAACCCCATTCCCTGTAAGTCTTATATTCTCAATAGTAAATTATCAATAAGAAAATTAAGACTGAAATTTGTTTTCCTACTCACTTCATTATCTCTTTACCATAGCTAAAAAGTCCCTAATCTTAATTTAATTTTTAAAAATATAACTGCAAAATAACAGGTAACTAGCTTACTCTGTTTTTCTTATACAACTATATTCTCATCTGTAAAAATGACTTATTACTTTAAAGAAATGCACTGAACTTTCTGTATACTTCAATTCCAGCTTGAAACATTCAGTTATAAGATGTATAATAAAACAGCAAAGGACAGAGTTCCAGCTCACTCCTTTAACTTCTATGTATTCAGAGATTTCTTTAACTTAGATGGACCCTTTAATATGTATGTCATTTGACCCTCACGACTATCCTGTACAATAAGCAGAGAAGGCTCCAAGAGACGAAGGTTCTATCCTCTGACATGCCACTGACTCATGGCAGAATCAAATCACTACATTTTATTACTGAATGAAGCCACAGGAAAAAATGTGAACATTTTTCAGAGGAATAGTTTCCCTCTCAACAAAACAGACACTATTCTGTGAAAAGAATCCATCTAAGTAATTTCCAGAAGAAAAACCAAATCTCAATCTGTACTCTATCCTGTTAATCTTCTATATATATAAAAAACTAATAGGCAAATTGTCCCCTTGGGAGTTCAACCAGGACAGCGGGAGTTTGATCACTTGCTATGACGTGCACTGATCACCAGGGAACGGCTCAGAATAAAGGAAGGCACCAGCTGGCAGCAGGCAGCCGGGGAAGGAAGGGCTGGCTGGCAGCTGAAAGGAAGGCCCTGACAGGCAGCCAGAAGGGCCCAATCAGCTCTGATCACCAGCCAGGCCCAGGGACCCTACCCGTGCAGGAATTTTGTGCACCAGACCTCTAGTATAAACATATTAAAAAACCAAACAAACGGGAAAAAAAATACTTTTGTGTGCAATTAACAGAAAACCACAACAGAACTTAATTTAAATCTGACCAGTTTTTCTCCACATCACTAAGTAGGAATGCTAACTTCAGTTGCACAACTGCAAAACTTTTTCACAAGAAAAGGCATTTAAAAAATTACCTATCTTATTTTCTCAACAGCATCATTACTATTTGGAAGTCATGTTTTTTGAAGCATGTCTATTGTCCATCTCTCTCACACCATCATCAGAATGTGTGTTCACAGATCTTATTCACTAGCACTTAGAACAGTACCCAATGAAAGAACTAAGTAAATGTTTGTTGTAAGAATGAGTTAATGAATTTCCCACTTGTAAAAGTTGTCTGTTTAAGTACTTTGCCTGGGGTTTACTGACTTTTGTTTTTGTTCCAAATACAGTATTTATTAATATTGGTCTTTTCATATTTGCTGAAATGCCTTTTCCAGTCCCTTCCTCTTTTATTTTACATTAAACAGATAGTTCTTTTAAAAAAAATTATTGATTTCAGAGACAAAGGGAGAGTGAGAAATAGAAAAAAATGATGAGAATTATTGACCAGCTGCCTCCTGTACATACCACACTGCGGATCAAGCCGGCAACCCAGGCATATGCTTTGACCCGGAATCAAACCATAACCACCTGTTTCATAGGTTGATGTTCAACCACTGAGCCATACCAGCCAGGCAGATAGTTCTTTCTTAATATATTGAATATTTATTGTGATCACACTTTTCAATTTAGTTTTTAACCCTCCTAATCAATTTGGCATGATCTAAGTTAACTACAGTACTTAGCCAAGAGAGAATGAATGAAGTGGTGAGAAAAAGACAGGACATTTTGATACACAGCCATCTTCTCAACATTTAACATGTCCCATTACTTTCTCCCCCAAACTAGCAATCTCTGCCAATCTTCCTATTTATATCTGGGCCATACCATAAATCTTAAGAATCATCTTTGTTTCCCTCTCTTTGAATTATTTTATTAGTGTTAACATTATTAATGAAATGCCATATGAAAACTTTATAAACTAATTTGCATTTTCTCTTTCTTTCTCTCATTCCCATTGCCATTACCCCAATCTATGTTCTTACTACCTCATGCTTAGCATACTTGGAATAGCAGAACTGATCTTTGAGCTTTTAGGGGTTTCGTGTGTGTGTGTGTGTGTGTGTGTGTGTGTGTGTGTGTTGTTTTTTTGTTTGTTTTGTTTGTTTGTTTCCAGAGAAAGGAAGAAAGAAAGAGAGAGAGGTAGAAACATCAATGATGAAAGGCACTGACCAGCTTCCCCCTGTACGCCCCAACTGAGGATCGAGCCTGCAACCCAGGCATGTGCCCTGACCAGGAATCAAACCCAGACCTCCTGGTTCATGGGTCAACATTCAACCACTAAGCCACACCAGTTAGGCAAGCTTTCAGTTTTAATTAGAGTTGGTAAAACAGAACTGTACGAAGGTCTTTTGAAATAGATATGATGAGAGAAACTAGTCTTTGGGTGATGAACATACATATGTAATATTATAAAGTTACATACCTGAAACTTATATGTTATTACCAATGTTACCACAATAAATGTAATAATAAAAAAAAGCAAATGAGCCTAAACTCCCCAGTCTTGTATTGGACAGTATTGAGATAGGCCCCAGGTATGGGTTGTTTAATTTCTCAAAGATTATGTTGCAAATCTCCAGCTGAGAACCCTGCTTTATGCAACAGTTTAACCCTGCTGTAATATTACTCTTTCCAAAGCATGACTTGCAAATTCACTTCCAAACTCAAGAACTTTCTCTTGTTTCCCAGTGCTTACAAAATGAAGATCAAAGTCAAGGTACTCTTGTGTTCAGTGAAGCTTGTGTTCTAGTCAAGCTTCTTTCCTATGCTACCCATTATGTTCTTTCACTCCTCCTAACAATTTCTCCTACAATGGGCATATGAATTTTCATTTTTGCCTCTATTTGACAGTTTAGCTCCAGTCTTACCTCTTCCAAAATGGCTGCCCAAATGTTCCAGGAATCTGGTATTTCCTGCAGCATTTATAACGCCCAACACATTGTGAGAATACTATCATTTTACATGACTGCATTCTATCTTGTATCGTTCTTTAAGAGCTTCCCAAAGTAAAAATCCCATTTTCTCAAAAATCTCTTTGAACTTGGGCTTCTTGAAAAAATGGCTATTTCCAAGTCTAGGCAAGAAATTTTAAGGTAACATGTCACTATGATCATAAGCAAGAAATCTATCAAAGATGAATAAGGTGGCAAAGGGATACAAATGCCAACTTAAAGGAACTCCAAAGATGGGATAATTAAGATATAAAAATACATACATACATAGTACAAATAGAGTGAAAAACATCAAATATATAAATTCATGAGTTTATAATACCTTAAAAAATATCATTATTCCACAGACCTGCAAATAGCAAAAAAGAACTGGGCACATATCCAATATAAACTATATTCCAGCCAGGCCGGTGTGGCTCAGTGGTTGAGCATTGACCTATGACCCAGGAGGTCACGGTTCAATTGCCGGTCAGGGCACATGCCTGGTTGTGGGCTCGATCCCCAGTGTGGGGTGTGCAGCAGGCAGCTGATCAATGATCCTCTTTCATCATTGATGTTTCCATCTCTCTCTCCCTCTCCCTTCCTCTCTGAAATAAATAAAAATATATTTTTTATAAAACAAAACTATATTCCAGAATAGCCAGAGGCAATGTGGGCAAGTTCTTCTTCAAAGAAAAATTCCAGCTAATAAATGCAAAAGAAATGACAGAATTAGAATGTCACCATTTTCCAACCTTACTGATAGAAAGGCTCTCCACCACCATCATCACTAGCAGCTAAAAAGCCCGAGATGAAAGCCTGGTGATGTGGGAACATTACAGTGTATGGATCAGGCGATGACACCCGAATCAAACCGAAGACTACTAAAAGTGGGACCCCTAGGTGGGTTATGCTCTATGTGCTACAACAGGAAACCCAGCAAAACCTAGTAAGTACTTTTATCCCAAACCCTTAAAAAAAAAAGAAAAGCTGAATAGAATCAAGCTTCAGATCTAACCACCAGTTTATAGGGCATAAAGGAAGCAAAGAAGCAATTTAAATGACACCTAAAAGATACAATCAGCCAAACGCAGAATATGGAAAAATCTACAGGTCAAGTCACTCAGTTTCTTCAAATAAATGGGAGAGGAGGCATAATTAAAAAGACTTATGTTAGTTGTCAACCAAATGCAGTGATTTTTTAATCAAGAAAACCTGTAAAAAGATAGATGTTATATAATCATAGGAGCCTAGACATAGACTGGATATCAGGTGATATTAAGGAATTGCAAATAAACAAAGGCTGAAACCTCCTTGCTGGGTTTCAGATATAGAGTATGTATTCATTTGCAACCAGAAAGCAAAACAGTAGGATATGTAATATTCTAATGTCCCTATACATATACTTCTCAAAATACTGTGCCTCCTCTTTCTAGCGTTCCTGCCAGCATTCCATTCAACATAACCACCAAAGACAAAGTATCTCCACCTCCCATGAACAACACAGGCTCTTGCATTTCTTTTCTATCTTTTGCTGTCCTTACCATCCTCTTGTGCCCACAGGTCAAATAGCTGTTTCCTCTATTTAATCAACTGCCAAATCACCTGACTTCTACCTTTAAAATCATATTTCTTCCACCACTTGCCCTTTTAGGGCCTTCAATACTTCTCACCCAAGACTGCTAACCTTCTTAACCACTTTCTTTCTTACTCCTCCCCAATCATACTGCACAATACTGCCATTTCATTGACTCCATCCATACTACACAATATTGCTAGATTCATCTTCCTGTA